GCATGCGGGAAAGGAAGGCAGCCAACCAGAGAAGGACATGGATGAGATGCGGTATATAATGAGCGGCGTGGCCAGCGTGGTGGACTCGGGTGGAAGGCGCTTGACGCGTGGCTCTGGCTTCTGATTGGTCATTAAAGCCTGTTCTGTTGTACCAGTCTTTTTCCTATTAGGGCTGGGGTATTCTACACGGCGACGGATCAGGGCGCAGACATATTGGACCACCTGGCCTCAGCCAATCCTGTGTCTCTCTGTGTTCCAATGGCAGGCGATGAAGATAAGGGCATTCTACAGTGGTGACGTATTAGGCCGTATAGATACAGGTCCACTCTGGCATCAGGTAGTTCTCTGTCTCTTTGCGATCTAATAGAATGCGAGATAAATAGGGAGGCATCCAGAAACACACACTTGAGAATGAGCGTTTAATATATATGGCGTAATGCGCCTAGCGAGCGGGGACCTAAATAGGTAGAAAACTGTTAGTCCGTCCTTTTTAGATTGTTACACCATCATGGTTAGTTACCAGGCACATGATTAAAGGATAATTGGAAGAATCGGGTGTATTCCATACGATTACATACAAATTCAGTGGGGAGGACCTAGGGAGAGTTAGAGGATGAAAGGAATTAACGTGAAAAGGGTCGACGTTGCCCTTTGACTCACGAGTGTGCCTTAAGAAAGGCGAGCTTGCGGGAGGGAACAGGAGGACAAAGACAGACCGGCGTGTGTGGGTCAAATGGTGCGTGCTTCAGCGTGGTGGACTCGGATAGGCAGCACCTGACGTTTGCATTTAGTTTGTGATTGCTCAGTTAGGCCCTATCTATTGCAGTAGTTTTCTTTATACTAGGGGTTGCGTGTTCTACACATAGCCTACTGAAAACATCAAAAGAAATTCAGCGAAGGCTCCGTAGATTGAAACGTTTTAAGTAGGGTCACATGCAAAGTTCTGCGACAAACCAAGCCAAAAGCTCAAAAAAAACCAAGTAAGATTAATACCTTATGGTAAAATGCGATGCCAAATGATGCACTATCTTAACTTTAACTGTTTGTAAATTTATGTCATTTTAAACCATTGATTCGTCCTTGATTTGCTGATTTCAAGGTCGTGTTTCTGTTCTCAGGATGGAAGCATGCGGTGGAGATGGTGCCGGTTTGTCGGCGGCTGAGCGACTATTTAATAAGCAAAGATACATTAAAGTATGTAAACTAAAAATTGCTCAGTACTCATCATCCGTCGTGGAGGATCCAAATGCAAATGTTAGTTGGTATAATGAAATCACGATTTTTAGGTTGGTCGCCTTCGCGATTTGATGAAAATGGCTACGGATCCACTTTTCCTAAAGTCGAGAAGTCTACGTCACCTCTTAGTTGCATCTTTGTGTGTCGTTTTTAAGGACATACTGCCTACTTACAAAATTCGTCTCCCTACTGAACAGGAACTAAAGCAGAAGGTACTTTTCTGCTGTATTCTTTTATTGTTTCGCGCCTAAACTAGCTATATGTGAAGTTATTTGGGCGCAGCGTAGCTCACACTTGATCATTACTTCTTCCAATGGCTATTTTGTCAATTACTTCGTCTTATAAGCGAAAACACCAAAAATTCACTGGTCATATTTCCAAAACTGGATTTTGTTTTCGGTATCACGCAGTGTTTTTATTTGACCTAGTTTTTCCCTGATTTTAAGACTCACTGCAGTTTTCGGGCTGTAGCATTGAAGTCTTGTAGGTTCTTAATCTGGAGTTTTTTATTTGACCCGTCCTGTTTTCACCCAACGTTTTCGCAATTCTTTCCCACTCATCTCTTGTCTTATTGCGGTTTCGTCCATGTGGACTAGAGACTAAACAGTCCTTAACTCCCATAAATCTTGTGTCCGAATGTACGGTACCCGTGTTTTTGTGTGATTCTCTCAAGTCCTGTGTTCTTTGGTTTTATAGTTTTTTCCTTGTGAGATCGTAGTACTCTGCGACTATGTTTGATCTTGAGTAACTACGTCAAAAGTATGCGGTTGTGTTGGAATCAGTTGTTCCGCATCAGTGGGTGGTTGCGATTGCGAACATTCCGCTATTAATCTAATTGAGCCCTTTCATTTCCTTTGCCAATTCGTTTTTAGGTTAAAAAAGAAACGAAGCGCCTCTGGCGGTTTGAAGAAATCCTGTTAAAAAACTTTGAAAAATACGTATTACTCCTCCAGACAATTCTCCAAGGTAAACTAGAATTTTCGCTGCAGCCCATATAACGTTCCTGTTTATAGACAAAGAACGGCGACGTCTGCCAAAAAGTCTACGCATTTATTCACAACCGCACTGGAGCACGGTACGTTTTTCCACTGCACACTTGCTTGACACTCCTTTTGCAGGCTGAATTAGTTTCCGCGCTGAAATGCGCCTGTTCACTGTTTGAAAACAATCCGCTGTTTAATTTCAGTGAAGACCTACTCCGATCCGCGACACCTTATCTCCAAGACTCGCGGAATTCCGTAAGTCAGTCTCAGTGTACTCTCACGATGTCTATTTCAGGTGCGTCAAATTGTGTTCGGGTGTTTAAGATCCACATTCGCCGCAGATGTAACAGGGCAGTCGACACTGATGGTAATATCCCCATTCCATTATCGCCCTCTTTCCGAGGTTTGTCGTGCTGTTCACAGACTCGCGCGTTCTGTCAATTATCGCATATTGCCTGATGTGGCCAATGTCATTGCTGGCATTGCCATTCGAGAGGTCGCAGACAGCACGTCGGGCAACTCGACTCACAAAGACAGGAAATTTGCCTCGCGTCGGGAGAGAAAGGTAAGCCGTCTCTACTTGTAAACACTCCTCTCTTCCTCCAGAAAGACAAAGTTTTGGCAAAATTTGAGAAAGACCAAGCCGAGACCAAAGCCACAAAGTCCCACGAAGAGAGGCTGCGAATAGTTTGTTTCACCCGTCCCCTATTAAAGTACCCACTTTGTAGAATGCAGAAATCCTCAAGGAGATATTGTTTGTGTACTTCAAAATCCTAAAAACAACCAAGGATTCTGAGCTGCTTTCGGCTGTCTTGGCAGGGCTTTCAACGTAAGTAGTCTTTATTTGTAATTTTTCTCTGTTCTAGTTACGCACACATAATCAACGTGGATTATGTGGAGAATCTGCTTCAGTTAATAAGTATTTTTGTTGCAAATCCGGTGAGTCAGTGTATTCATAACGTCCTAGGGGTTTCAGAAACCCCAAGTCACGTGCCTCAGGCTAAAAATCGTGTACGTGTTTGTAGAAAACGTCTCTGCACGATGGCCTACACTGTGTACACACGGCCCTTACCATTCTGAACACATCCTCGGCCACGTCTGTGCTACACGTCGATCCGACACGCTTCTACAACCACCTTTATGCCCTCCTCGGTCAAATGGCCGGAGTTTCCAGCGGACAGGCGCACGCGGCCACCAGGGACGCCCCCGGACCCTCTCTCATGCAGTACGCCTGGGCTCGAACCCCTGCCGCGATAGCTGCGGAAACCCTTGCTAGACGGGAGCAACTACTGGGCAAGGCGGGGGATGAAGGCGGTGCTGAGGCGGGCGGTCGAGGGACGAAACAACGACGGATTCGTGTGGAGGATGCGGAGCGCTTCACCGACGTGATCCTTGCCTGTCTTGACATGCTCATTGTCAATCGAAAACGAGAGGTCTCCGCTAATCGTGTCCTCGCTTTCGCCAAGAGATTGGCCTCTCTTGCTGTTGCTATTGTATGTTTTTTGGCAGAGCTGGGTATCCATGTGATATCCCCAGACTCATCCTGCTTACACTACTACTTTTTCCGGATTTCTTGTGTGTATTAGTTGAGGAGTCTTTCCGATTTGGGTCGCGTGTGTGTGTAACAAGCCCTTTCTGTTTCCTCGCCAGAGCGACCCAGCGTGCCAGGGCTCCATGTTGGTGAGTCTCTGGAAGTTTATAAGCCTCTTCCCCAAGTGCGAGGTGCTCTTCGACTCGGAGACGGAAATCGGCGGCGACTACGACCCCGAGGCTCTGGACCCCGAACTCGCGCGCCCCGCCAGTTCCGCCCTCTGGGAGCTGCAGGTCCTCCGCCAACACGAGTCACCCCTGGTAGGCTTCACCCCCAGTCCCTGGCCCATTAACTACGTAGTCATCACAAGTAGCTGTATCTTATTGACGCGACACCCTTCCACAGTATCCATGGTTACCTATGACGCCGCAAAACCACACTGTTAACACGTCTTCTTGCCCACTCTTCTAAAGGTCCGCAGGATCGTCGCAATCATCTTGAGGTGGGTCCAAGAAATGACCAAAACCAGCACACCCCGCCCCACCAACGAGGTCCTGGCCCAGCCCGATCACACGATCGAATCCCTGTCGACACTGCATCCGGCTGAGCGTCGAGTCATTTTGGCGCGTTCCGAGGCCGCTTGCCTTTCCACGCCTTCCACAGCCAAGGTCGGGAAGCGGCGTTACCAACCGTCGCCGTGGCTACGGAGGATGTTGGAGCAGAACGAGGAGGCGGCCACCTTACCGAACGGCGATGAATCAAAGGTAGTGAAAATGGACGTGATATGACAGATTCTGTAAATAAAACCATCAAGTTACGTGTGGTTTTACTAAGACTAGGCGCCCCAAATACCTCGCAAAGTAAAAAAAATGCAATAGATAGAAAAATGGGGGGATTTATTAATCATTATCATCTACTGACATCTGTTGCTCATCGACGTGCTGAAAAAGAAAGCAAATTTAAGTCAACTCGAGACGACGTGATAGGCCGAGGGCTGGGGAGACTCACCGCTTGCACGAGATCGATCAGTTTTTCTGGGTCTTTGCCGGAGGAGATGTCGATGAGATCAATGGGTAGCTTGTAGCGCGACATCACACCCGAGCGCATTGTCTTGTCCGTCTGCCAGCGAAAGAATATCTCCTATCGGCAGAGCAGAAGACAACAGGTCAAAACTTAGTGAAATTCGGCCATAAGAAGTGCTGAACTGTGATGCGAGAAAGTGTCAACAGCGCGCACCTTGGTGCATACTGATTGGCGCTTCAGAGGCGACCACTTCCACTAGACACTGCCGTGTCATACAAAATATGGTGAGGTAGGTAAGAGGGATACGTAGGGTGTTTGAAGTGTTGCAATTCTCATCTCAGTACGCCGATCCTCTCCCAGAAATGACGAGCTTTTAACTGGCAAGGACTGCATGAACTTCATCAGTTTAAATTTACTACTGTTCCCAAGATAAAAAAAATTTGGACGGAATACCTTAAGCCACATTCGAGAATGGTTTAAAAAGCATCGATTTCAAGTACATAGAGACAACAGCTTCCCGTCCTAACTGGGTGCGTTTGGCAGGCACCAACTAGTGATTAATCAATCACCACTTGTATGCAAGAAAGCACGAAGCGGAAACGCACTTTGTCAATTGGGAAAAGATTCAGCTCAGTCCATTCGAACAAGAGACCATCGGTTGGCAGGCCGAAGACGTTGAAATCGAGCAGCTTTACGGACATGGATGATTTGAACTATAAACAGCAGAATTGCAAAATCCACCAGTACGCATTACCTCATTCTTGATGTACACATCCATTACATCTAAAGGGCACATTGGAGGAATGTAAATTTGGCCAATTAACTACTTACAGTCGTTCAGGGGAAATTTGTCCTTAACCACAGTCTCGAAGAATTCAGATATCAGGCATTTTATATTTTCTTGGTGTACTTCAATAAATACGAAGTAGGAGTCGTAGTTTCGTTGGCAAATTGCTGACAGGACGCTAGGGAAGGGAAAGAAGCAACTCATGCCTACCATAGAGACGCTTGGACCGAATAAAGCATCGAAATTCAGTTTCTGGACGAATCAGTCGCCATGCGCGTAAAATCACCTTTAAACGAGGTTCTTCCTGACTTTTGGAAGCCTCATCGCACAGAGCGAATCTAGTACAAGTTAGGGAATTAGTACTTGTGAAATGGTGTGTACGGTGCGTAAATGTCGTGCGAGATGAAGTCGGAGGCTTTAAGGAGGACTAACAGGTCGGCAGCAGATGTGCACTTCAGGCAGGAACCAAAATTTATCCAGGCGGCGTCCTAGACACAGAGAGTTAGGCAAAGTCGGCCAGACATCTGCCTACTTTAGGGGCGCTCCAATTGAGCTTGGGGAAGGCCATTCCGCCAAGGGAGCTGATGGCTTTGTTGACTTTACTCTCGAAATCCGGAAAGGTTGGTCCCTCGGGATCGTCATCATCAGCCCAAGATTCCTGGATAAAATGAAATTGGCAGGTACTGGACATGTCCACATTAGCGTCAGCGAGGAGCAGCGTACTTCAGTTTCACAACGGACAAAAATAAACTCACCTCATCAAGATTATCAAAACAACCGGGCTTTTCTACTTTAAGAGGTCGAGAACTAAAAATGACACGTTAGGTGAAAAATACTTTTTTGGGAGGAGTAAAGGGGCATTCTTAATGTAATCCAGGACTTCGTCGGGAAGATCAATAATAATACTAGAAAATAATCAGTGCTCATTTGGCAAAACGCACCTCCGAGTAGTGTACTTCTCAAATATCGGGTACCAAGAATCAAATGAGCACGCCAAAACCTCCTCCTGTTTCATCGTTCTAGAAAAAGAATTCTGAACATGAACAAGAGAGTTCCATGAACATAAAAGAGTTCCATTTGAAAACGATGCCTTCTGAGACTAAAGAGCTATTCATAAAGCACGTCTGCGACAATGCAACGATTGAAAAGCCCTATTAAAACCCATAACTCAATTAGAAGCACGTAAAGGTAACCTTTATGAAGTTGACTTAACCAACTTCCAATAACGGCAGAACTTGAAATAAAAGTAATCGCCTTAAGTAGCGATACGTTGGAATATCGCATGGTTCTACTCTGACAACAACAGAATTCACTGGTGACGTGGTTCTGATTTAGCTATATTTCTACTAAATAGACAGGGAAAAACTTTAACCAGTTACAATAACAATTTGATCCATTTCGGACATAAAGAATGGAATAGCGTTAACGAGGGAACATCTGTCCCAAAAACGACTCTAAGTGGAAGAAATTATATAATGACAACCACCATGAAATCATGAAAACCATTAAACTTAATTTAAGGGTGGTTGATTGAAGACTACTGGGAAAATTATGATTTAATTAAGCACCGAATAGCCTATAAAAACAATTCACCGAATTTTGGGATTCGACATTTTGTTGCGTTGCTGTCAATCTTTTTGGGTAAATTATCTGAACAAGTAAGCTGCTAGGCCTCAAATGAAGTTCATAAACATACATGTGACAACCGGGAGGACTGAGCTATTCTCAGTTCAAAAACCCTTTTTTCAAAGTGTGCGGCATTGTATTTCCTTTCAAGGCAACTTTAAGTTTTTGACCTGTAAATGTTTCCTAAAGACAAGTCTTGCATATTGATTTTCTTTTAATTCCCACATCAAAGTAATGTAAACGTTGCAGAATACAATTAAGATTTTAAAATTGTATTAATTTATGCCAATGAAATGTGCAAATTAGATTTGCATTTAAAGCAATGGGAAATCCTAATTTGGTGTTCACAAATTAATCTCTACATATGAAAAGTAATGCTCCAAACATCAAGGCAAAGGACTCAGGATTGTGCACTCTACTATTCGAAGCTGGTGAATCACCATAGTTATATTTTAATACGTTGTTTCAAATGTGTGTAAACGAAAATGTAATTTCCTTTTCATCTCCCTTTGTAATTTTGTGCAATATCACTGAAGTTATCTTGCACAATGAAGTTTATAATGCTGCTAAAGTCAAATTTCACACTTGCGTTAATAGTGTCATTTCAAAGCTTTTCTACAAGTATATCCGGAGTGTGATTTAAGCCGGTATATTGAAAGAAAAAGCAGTAGCTTCGCGAATTATGCATCTTATTTTCACATTGGTTTAGATGTCCTAACAAAAATTAGGTTAAATTCCCTAACGAATTGTTTTCCTCCGTTTGTTTGCACTGATTCTTAGCCTATTTTGGCAAACAAAACACACTGATGTCTGGCAAAATTTCCAGAGAAGAATTTTTAAACAAGTTGTGAGCACTCTAATGACCTTTTTAAAGATGAAATTGAATGCATCCAGCAGATAAAGCGACTGCACAATCCTTCCATGCAGCTCAACTACAGAAGAAATGCTAATGGCCTGCATGAACATGCAGGCAAACCATTTTTTCCTATCCGTCACTAAAGTGTCCCGTGGTCCGTAAGACAAAGTCACATTGAATTGTCTCCTGGCGCTCCCACTTCAATGAATATCACCTCTAATGTTGACTAAATTATCGCGTTTAAATAAAAACACGGAGTCAATAAATTATAGTTTAAATTTTAAACTCTCAATAGTGCCCATAAAGTTGGGTAGACATGGTTATTACATTTTAAAAATATATCAGTTTGGTAAAATAGGTTTTTGCACCACTGCTGTGTCTGATTGACTTGAGTGTACCTTTATTTTTACTACTAAATTTCCTGACATGTAGAAGTCCTACTTTGAGTCTCAAACTCACAACCTGTTTGCCACGCGCAATTTTTGAGTCATAAACGGGATACCCAACAGTAGTTAAGGGGTTAAACAAGGTTGATTTCAAGAGAGATTTCGGTTTGGGTTAATTTACCTGATCAAAATTTGCACCTTCACTTAAAGCCAGGGGCTGCTCGACATGGTTGCATGTGTGTGTGTGTGAATTCACAGTGAAACACATTTTTGCACCACAGAATTGTAGAAGGAGAAGTGTACACAAAGGAGCATTCCCTCACGTGTCCAAACAAACAATAAGTTTCAAGATAAAGTGCCTTTGTTCGAAAACGCACATTGATTATTTAAAACAAAAGGTGTGGAAAGCTAAGTTGTCAGAATTCGGGTAAATGGCTTGTTTTATGAGAGATCCCCTATAGAATGTCAGAGTTTGAATGTACTATAGTCATTTGCCTTATCAATATGCACAACTTTGGTTAAATATGCGCGCGAAATTTGCATATCAGGAGCAGCCCAAAATAAATCATGTGGTTTGTTACTCTAAAGGGAAAATCGTTACTTTGAGTAGCTTAATCAAGGCCTTGACAAGCGTCATTTTTGTATTTAGTTCCACATTTATGCTATGGAAACCTGAAGGTAATAACTCCATATCAATCAATCCAATTGTATTAGTATTTCTGACACATATAGTAAAAAAATTACGTTCCAGCTGTTTTGAGATTTCAACTCCTCAGGTAGTCTAAGTTTTGTGCTACAGATTGAATCATTAAAGCTAAGTCAGGCCGGTTTTCGCAGATTTTAGCCCTTCTCAAGCATATGAAGGTTGAGGACCACGAAAAAGGAAATCCAGAAATTCGTTTTCTACTTAATTCTACCTAAAATTTCATCTTTAATTCCTCCAGATTTTCAGAGTCAATAGCCTTATTAAGCTAGGCAAATGTTTTATAACCGCACAAATGAATTTTGTAGGATTCAGCAGATCTGTAACCCAGAAATTTGATCCACAATTTTAAATGTTTTTTGAGGATAAGAGTGAAACGTTTGACGTGCTACCAACCTAATTCCTCCTGCTAACCCCTTAGAATCGTTTAATTATGTCAAAACACAAATTTGATGTCGACATTGGGAACTCAAATGACGCGTTTCAAACAACACTTGCCCAGTAAAACATGCTTTTTTATTTCAGAAAAAGACATCCGGCAGCTCAGAATCCACGTCACATGAAGTTCTAACCCAATTAGAAATGGCGCCCGGATAGTGAACCAGATTATTAAAACAAAGCGAACCGATAGGCTAGGCGGGCAAAATCTGACACGTCTTTTTTATGGAATTCTTGTTCTAAACCCACTTCCACCGTTTTAATTTTAAATCAAACATGACGAAGTAGTTGAATATGCAACAAAAATCAAGTTCTGTCGACTTGATCTTGTGCCACATTTAAATGTCTTTGTGACTGGTAGATTCCTAGTTTGGATCAATTTCCTTGAAAATGCTACCTCCACGTCTGCCTCATGAAGTCAACGAATGCATCGAATCAACAAAGCGACAAGACGTTCTTTAGGAACATGATAATGTCCACCCTTACGCAACCAATAAGACAAAAACTGCCACATCTTCCACATTCTCCAGATTTGCGTCCACCAAATTTTCATATTTTTCGATCTCTATATGGTTTCGAGGCTCCGACGAATACGAATAATAAGCGCATTTTAATCAAATTAATCATTGCAATCAAGTGCGATTAAGTTTCGGTTCAATGAAAGAAATACGTTTAGAAAAATCGCAATGTCTAAATCATCAACCCACTGGAGATTAGTGGATGACTGTACCGGCAAATGTACATTGTCTAGTTGATCGTTTTAACCATTGATAACTCGAATAATGTTAAAATCAATACTTGTTCCCCAAACTCCGATCTTCTCGTTCGTCGAAAACACCAGAAGTAATCGGTGCAAGATTTTGCTAACTTCGGGGTGCTTGAGAGACACGTATTAAACAGAACAAAAGCGTTTGTAATGTTAACATTTGTTAAATTATATCTCATTGAAACTGAGAGTGCCTATCAGATGGATAAAATATCAAGAACATTCCTAGCGAGTGATGTAAGTAATGTGATGAAGATGTCCTTCGAAAATCAGGTAATCGTAGCTGAGAGAATATATTAAAAAATGAAATGAATGAATGAATTTCGATGTGATGCTGGTTGCAGATTCCTCTAAATCAGAAAGTCCGATTTCAATGCAGAGCGAGCCACGGTATTTTTAATGTTCATTTCATTCACTTTAACTTCGGACTAACTGGCGAAACTTCCGCTATTCCATCTCGCAACCTCACAGCGCCTGCCACCTTCAAATTGTGTAATTCGATTCAATCGACAAGCGACTCTTAGACATCGTGTTACTGCATTAAACTACACCATAACGTCGGTTGTTCCACTGAAATTCAGTCAATTAATTTATGAAATCTGGTATCGGATGTCCCAACCAAAGAATTTGTTCTTGAACATGGTAAATAGCCACGAAACGAAAGCATTGACTCACAATTATCTTACAAGCCTTGTGTGAGGTTGGACTTAAACACCGACGTTAGATTCACCAAGCTAAGAGTTGGGCTTAAATACTGTGACTCGACCATCCAATCTACCAGCATTTGCTAAAGTCAGACTTTTATAGAACCTAGAGTAGAGTTCTAGAGAAGTTAAAAAATATATTACAGAAGTTCCCCTTGAGAATTTTGACAGTAACTCCTTCCACCTGAATGCCACGCTTTGATTTCGTTTTGTTGGTCTGTCAGATGGAAAGAAATAACCTGTTTACGGATACAGAAGTGTCTCTCATGATCTCAAGGAGTAACCACTAAACGATGTAGTGTGTCGTTTCTCGGATTGTGAGGATGCGCGGAAAATCCGACACCTGAGACCTCCTCTACCTCATAACTAACCTACCAATCACGTCTCCATCAGTCATCCTCGAAGTCTGAAACACCGACCTCACAAATTCCCCAAAACCAGGTATTCCAAACGGGCCTGGATAATCTAGAACGCCACGGCTACACGAGTCACACTCTAATCACCATGATCGAAAGCTAGCGTTCGTGTCTCGACGGAGCGTGTTTATGTTTGGCGATAGTGGTGGTGGGGGGGCCGACGGCTGTGTCATCACCTATCACGAGGGTTTGTGTTTACGCTTCGACGTAGCAGCACGGCCTCTCAGTTTGAATTATCAAACCCCACCAACCGCCGTCGACACCACCTGCTCCGTCGTCGTGGTGTGACTGTCGCTCTCTCGCTTGCACGCACGCACTCACGCCGCACACACTCCAATTTCCGCAAATGGTCTTTTGTTTAGGTTCACCTGTCGCGCTGGTGCGCGCACACACACGCACGCACGCACACGCTGTTACCGTATCGATTATCTACTCGCGATTTCGTGAATGTGTGCAGTCAGTCGAATACAAGTGGCGTCCACTGCTTAAGACGGTGTCTGCTTGAGGCACGAACAACCTAGAATCGAACACTGTGGGCACCTGTTGTCGGTTTCAACCTAAAATCACGAAAACGATTCAAACTTAGCTCGTGCTAGGAATCGTTACCTAGGCAACTCCAAGTTGAGGTTTATTTGAGACGTTATGGTTGGATTTTTTGAATAGTTGGCTGTAACAGTCGTATACAAGGTTAACCTCGATCGCTTTTAAGGCTTTTGTTTGTGTACTTTATTGAGTGTGATACACTAACACATAAATTAGATTTATTGACATTTAGCGTACTTACCGCGAACTTTAAAAAGGACTTGGATGCACCGTTAACACCAGAACGGATGCCATCACGATCCACATCGAACATTAGCCTTTCTCTTTGAAAAAAAATTACACTCAGTTTGGTAAGATTCCACTAAACTTTTCCACTGCGTGGCTTCGAAAGCTAATTAGACTCTACCTGTTAAAGAGCTCTGCAAACAGCCGAAGATTGTTAATTTGGACGTAGCTATCAGAAGATCTAATTCACGATTCAGTTCTCCGATGACACCCGTAGAACCCTGGACAATAAAGATGGATGGTGCGGCACAACTGCCGATTCGACAACATGGCTGATCCATTTCTCTGTGGCAACGTGTTTCAAGATATTTACCATCTAAAGCTTAGAAGTTTCATGCAACGTTCAAGGTAATTCGAGAAATCTGAACTATGATCACTTTGCGTTTTGGCTGATAAGAAGCATTCAAGAAATATCATTTTTTTAAAAACAAGGAAGGGAGCAATGTTTTGGCATAGAAGGTCAAGCCTCGTTCCCGTTTTCAGATCACGAAAGAGTTTTATTATCGGTAAAAAAGAGGATCTTCGTTGCATGAAATCCCAAGTTAGTTTAATTGCTGGCATGATTCAGAAGAACCCACACTACTGCAGCGTTTCATACTGCAAATACTTCATCAGAATGCCCCAAGGGAAACAGTGGCTGAAGGAACAGCAATTTAGGTGAAATCTATGACAGCGAAAACTTTCAAGCCACCTATTCTATTTTATTAAGCCGATGTCTTTGAAAAAAAATGCAAATTCACAGGTCCTGAAAGCCGAATAGTCAAATCGTAATGTCTAATGCAAATTATGACAAGTTACGCAGGTTTCAGGCAAGTCTACGTGAATTTCAGAACCTCTAAGAATGGCCGAGTGTACGAAGAAATGGTTTTAAGGCACAGGAGTCAATTTGTAGTGTTTTTGGCGCCAGTGTTGGGCCTATGGACATCACCTAAAGCCATTAAGTATTGAGTATTTAACTAAATCTGTTTTATAAGTGGTGATTTTGATTTTTGTGACCTTCCGCGGCCCGGAAGATGCGCAATTGCCAGCTCCGCTAGATGAAGACTCAACGCAAACGTAACAAGAGCCTGCAGCTCAGTTAGGAATCACCCAAACAGCGTTTGCACCACTGAATAGGAAAAAATTTTGAAAACTTGGAAGTTGGGTCCTACGAGCGTTGACCAAACACATGCCTTTCACTGCTTGCTCCTTTGGCAACAAATAAAAGGACTTCTCGTGGCATATTTAGACGAGTGATGGAATGTTCATATTTTTGCAAGAATCCTAAATGTAAAAAATTTGTGGATAGTTATCGGGCAAATCAGTACGTCGAAAAATAAACAGGGCATCCACTTAATGAAGACATCTGCACTGGTGCATCGGGTGGTACATGAAGGGTATACTTTAATACGAATTCCTGGAAACTTGTCAGACGGTGACTGCGCAACGCTACAGGCGACAAATGAACAAACTGGGAGAAGAATTTAATCGGAAAAGGCTACTTATTGGGCAAGGAAGCAGGCAAGTCATACCGCTGTGGCATGACCTCACGTTGCCCGCGAGACTTACAAGACCCTCTTGAATTTGGGATGGGAAGGTCTCTCACACGCGCCATAGTCACCAGACTTGGCCCCATCCTACAACAATGTGTTCTGTTCAGTGCAGTGGCACGAATTCTAAACGTTGTTGGACGACGTGCGTAACATCAGCGAAGCCTGCATGTTTCCTTCGTGACGGCACTCGTGCGTTACGTGAGAGATGGCACAAGGTCATAGGGAACGATGAACACAATTTCACAGATTAATTTCGTTGTTATCTACTTTTTTATTTATTAATTCGGCTGAAAATCTGTACCAATTTGGTCATAAACCTACTATTGCCCATTTCAACTCAGAAAAATTATCTCATTGCCCGACTCCTTGTCAAGGTGAAAACTTGTGCTTACATAAACACTCCTTATTGCAGGATTTGAGTGGGAACCTGACGTGCGCCTTCTATTCCAAGCACAAGGACCTAAGATCTAGACAAGCCCACGTATTACGTGCTTTTTTGTTAAAGCGAGAGCAGGTGCTACCGCGGGAATGTAAACTTTTGTTCAACTGCGAACATTCCTGTGTGAGGTTTGTGTGCGTGAGTACACAAAGGTCTGCATGCCAGCACGCCAGATACGGGCCCGGTGTCAACTCATGAGTCGAGGTGGCGTGGGCACGTGGTTTCCACCCGCGTGGGGTCAACTGGGGTGAAATCTGCCAACGATGATTGTGGGACGGGGGTTGCCACTATCCAAACCAGTAATTTTGCCTACAGGAATTAGACGGAGACCACGTTTAGCCATCTCAGTCGTTCCCGAGTCCAAGTCCTGCCAACCAAACTCAAAAAGAGGCTCACAGAACATGTGGTCACAGTAAGCGAGTGACTTACAACCTTCCTTTTGGAGTAAATTAAATCCAAGCTACTTTAAGGCCAGTCGACTTGGACTTGAGCAATTTTAAACGCTTGTGGATACTCAAACACGGCTCACCTCATTCAAATTAATACATGAGGACAAATAAGCATGGGAACATCTCGTACAAGGTACTTGAGAATCAAATTTTCAGACACGTTTCTGTGGGTGTGCCATTATGGACCGCTACCACACCAAAAGTATAAAACCTTTCAATTTATCGAATTCATCTTCTCCTAAATGAAGTACTTTGACATCGTTGGTTACTTTTAGGTGTGCGAAAAGATGCAATGTTAATCCTATCCAACCATTCCCTTGGACTACTTGACATTTGATGCACTGTTAAATTGAGATCAACGGAATTCTTAGTGTTCTAGGATCCTGATCTGCCATCTTCAGTAAAAAAAATCCATATCGTTGGTTAGTCGAGGCACATGTTAATGTTTAAACTCAACATGATGTGCTAAGACGTCCACAACCATCCACGTGGACTAATTTCAAACACGCAAATTAATTAGACAAGCTGTAGTACTGGTTAAGCAATTAGCATGCTATTGCCCATTACCCAATTACTGACGCCGGTGAGTAACCTTGGTCTTGACCAATCCTTTTTCCTCATCTTTTTGCTGTTTTACTGGTGCAGAATCCTTGCCAAGAAGTCACCTCTAACTTCGAACACCAGGTTTGCCCAAGTTGTCAATTCGATCGTGGTGTTTTGACACAAATGACCTCAGTGTGTTTACTCAGGCTGTAGAACTATTCTGTCCATTGTCAACGCGGTGCTGGTCCTGATTCCACGCTCAGAATCGGGGTCAATGGGTCAAATTAAGGCTCAGCTCTAATGAATTTCTGGTTGGTTAACAACTTGGCCGCAATAGGTCGCCAATTCGGCAACCGGTGGCCGTGTGTCTAACCTGAGTTCCGGGAAGCACAAATTTGCAGGTGCTCAAGGAAGGACGACCTATTACAACACTAAATCAGCATGCGAAAGAATCGATTTCATTTAGCAAATCCTTAGTTTTCTGAAAACCTATCCGCTGAACCAGATAGCATGTGTACAGCGTGTGTAACATGATCGACTACCGCGACCCCACGGATAAAACAGGAAATCAAGTTAGATACTCATTAAGAGGCAGAGAAAAGAGCCTTAGTTACAAAGTTGAGGTATTTTTACCAGCTTAATTGTTGGTTACAGTAGTGTAAACCAGTTATTCTTAGCTAATTTTTGACTTACATTATCTTTAGAAAAATTACACCTATAGGAGCACTAGCAGGCAGAGGGTCATGTAACTAATGTCTAATTTAAATGGTATTCATTTGATGAAGATATGCGCTCCCTGACCTGATTAGAAAATCGAGAAAATGCCCTAGTTTTTTCCATGAAAATCAGCGTAAAACTAACTCCTACATTTTTTGCTGTGTTTATTTAATTTGGGTTAAAATTTAAAAAAAAAAACATATAACGCCTTTTTACTACATGCATTGACAAACAGCTGACACTTCGAATTCAAACCACCCTCTTCTTGTGGAATCAATAATTTAACCAATTTTAATACTTTTACGGCCACTTTGCCTAAAGTTGGCGAATCGCATTGTTTTGTGTGAATCTGTGAAAAGGCCCTTAACACATTGGTTCACCGCACTAATTCGTTTACACTCCGCGCTTGTGAAATTTAATCGCTAGTCGAAAACGCTTGTTTATTCTAATAAAGCCAGAACTAGCGAATCACTGGCACCAGTGCACTGTATTATCGCAACAACGCTGAGCCAACCAGTCGGCACGCTTCGGTCATTGTTTGGTCATGTCGTGCTGTGATGTAAATCAACTCGGGGGAGGCCTTCATTCGCTGCAGCTAAACTCGGCTAACAGCTCGTCAGGAGGCCATTATTACAGGGTCAGGAATTTGAGCATGAACTTAGACACCGCGCTATCAGAGAGCATTGTAGGCAGACAGGACAACCAAAATGCCGCCGCCTTGTCAGCCGAGGAGGGCATTGCAAAGCTCCTAAGCCGAACCAACTACTCGATTTCTCGAGAAAACGGCCAACGACGATACGGTCCCCCGCCGAACTGGAAGGGTGACACCCCGCCTCGTGGGTGCGAGGTCTTCGTTGGGAAAATTCCCCGAGACTGCTTCGAGGACGAGCTCATTCCGATATTCGAGAAAATTGGCCCAATTTTTATGTTCCGACTGATGATGGAGTTTAATGGCCACAACCGAGGCTATGGGTTTTGTGTGTTCACAAATCGTGAAGATGCAAAGCGCGCCGTTGAGGAGCTGAATAATTATGAAATCAGAAAGGGCAAAACCATTGGCGTCTGTTTGAGTGTCGATAACTGCCGCCTCTTTGTTGGAGGAATCCCCAAAAACAAGACTAAAGAGGAGATTTTCGTTGAAATGCAAAAGGTTACGGAGGGGGTGAAGGATGTTATTTGCTATCCCAGTGTGGCTGACAAAACCAAGAATCGAGGCTTCGCTTTTGTTGAATACGAAAGCCACAAGGCAGCGGCGATGGCTAGACGCAAACTCATTCCTGGAAGGATTCAGCCGTGGGGGCAGCAAATTGCCGTTGACTGGGCCGAGCCTGAACGCGAGGTTAACGAGGAGATCATGTCGAAGGTGTGGAAAGGTTATTTTAATGCTTAAAACTGCGCGATTTAGATAGATTATTTAATGTTACATTGATACTTTTATACAAGTGGTGATTTATGCCGTTTTTAATATAATTAAGGTCAAGATTTTATACGTGCGCAACCTGATGCTAAGCACAACGGAGGATCAACTGCGTGCTCAGTTTCTGGAAGTTGCTGGTGCTGGGGATCAAGCCATCGAGCGGGTAAAAAAGATAAGCGACTATGCCTTCATCCACTTCAAAGACAGGGAAGTGGCCCAGATCTGTCTTGACAAATTGAATGGTGAGTCCATTTACAATTTGCTTAACACGACTTTCATTGAGAATATCATGACCTAAATTGACCAATGCCTCTTACAGGATTAAGTCGCTTTATTTTGATAATTTTACCACCTGACAGCACAGTATATATTGTAGGAAAACCAAACTTGGTCTAGTTATGAGAGTTAGATAGAAGTCTAATGCAAAATCTCTTCGAAATTAAAGTTATCGACAACTGCGGAAACACCTAGAAGTAGAGTGCTGGCCGTGAGATTGAAAGCCTCCGGTTCTAAATTTCAAACTCATACGGATATAAGTTTAAAAAGGGTTGTTGTGTGCATTAAAATTGGGATTCACGTCAAAACCGTCGTTTGCTGATGCGAATTGGACGCAAAAATCGATTGCGCATTTTAAAGTGCACTTGCGTGATTACAACTCAGCTGTCTGACCACAGAAGGAAAATCGATCGACCGAGTCATCTGGTTTGTAAAATGCAAAAACTTCCTATTTTTCCAGCTTTTACCGTGTCTCCGTAGCGGGTTTAGCGAATGCCGTTTTGTTGCCGGGCAATCTGATTGGGTGAAAATCTCCGCTGGAAGACAAGTATCATTGCGGCTAAGTTGTCCTAGCGAATGGGAATAAATCATTGTCTCCGGGGTGGAGGCGAAGGGCAGTGTTCGCACAAAAATTGCACAACTTTTTATCGAAAGGAAGCTATGCAATTTGAATTAACCTAGCCCATGGGTTGAAGCCAAATCAATTTTCCAAGCATCTGACATTTTAAACTAAATTTAACTGGTTTTTACTGGAAATCCAGCGGTTCAGATTAAAAAAAGAGCTTAACTTCACGACAGGCATGAATTGTGGTGGACACACGGAGATCACAACATCGGAGTTGTTTTATTTACTCACTAGGCACAATAATCGATGGCTCCATAGTTGAGGTTACCTGGGCCAAGCCCGCTGACAAGGGTGAGCCAGCCCGTTCTCAGGCTGCCCGGTCAGGGAAACAGCTGATGGACTGGAACATCAATGCAGACTTCACTAACGCCACCAACTACTTCCTGGATCCAGCTACCGCTCTTCTTACCGGCTATAATCCACTCATGTTACCTGGTTCTGGGTACGTCCCTTAGTTGGTTGTGAGTGATTGACGTTTGCATAAGTAGTGTTAACCGGGTTAATAATACTGTGCAAATCACTTCTCGTTAGGCTCAAGAAAACGTCATTTTTCGGTTCTAGATGCACCAGAAACAGTTCTTCCAGAATTGGACGTCGAAACGCCGCAGGAGGCAGAAGTGCTGCTGCTCAGCGTGAACGGAAGCATCCAGTGGAGGTAAGACCCCAAATCTCTTTCAATAGTCTCTTTCCCGAAGTCTTCCAAACTAGCAGGCACTAATGATAGCGTAAACCTTTGCTTCAAAATATTCCAAAATGCAGGTATTCGGGGTAGAGTGCAGGTGTAGCTATGTGACATGACTGCCAAGGAAAGGTCTACAAGAAATTGTTACACTCTAGTAGGTTTTTTTTAGGTGGTGTGTCGTAGGCACCTCTCATATTTCTAGTCACACAAGTGTCTTGAGTTCTCCTAAAAAAGCCAAAATTACCCACGAGGAAGCATTTGACAGAGTTTGGAATTGCGTTTTTTCGTAAGCCTACTTTCAGTCACTTAACTGAACTTACTTTCTATCGTGTTGACAAGCTACAATTTCTGGAGCTACTTAACCGTGAGTTCTATTCCATACAATCGTCCACTGGATCGAAGGTTGCTAGAAGTCTTAGAAGAGCTTTCTGATTAAATTTCCTTCCCACTAAACTGGGTGTGGGGTAGATTACAACCTTGCTCGCCTCTACTCGCTTGCGTCCCTGCGGTGAATGATTCCCACCTGATCTAACTGGGGTGTCGCGACTGGGTGTCGCGTTTCCCCAGGGCTCTGTTTCAAAATGAACCGTCTGATTGGCAACTTAAGTTGTGATTTTGTGATCAGTCATGGTCGACTACCCACCCTCGCATACCGCCTCACGCACACACATCAATTACAGCACCCCAGACGCGTCTGAAAAGATTCCTGTAAGACACGTGTCCAGTGATAGAAGCCAATTATCTACATGTGCTCTTGATTTGTCTTTGGCCGTTTGTTTTGTAAATCATCTGATATCCGTTTCCGCTAGAAACTGCAGCAACATCAGTCCAATCCACTGGTATTCCAAGAGGTTTGTCCTAATCGTACCCACCGCTGCTTTATTGCTTGCATGTCGCTTGCCAATCTATCGAATGCGCACACCTTCGCAAAAATTGCTTGTCTCCTTGAACTAACTCTTGGTCTTGCCCTGCTAGATCATGGAGGACTTCTGCCAGCGAAATGGTCTTGAATCACCCGTGTACACAGCTCTGCCAGTAGACATTGTAGACTATTCCAGTGGTGGAAAGATCCAACTTTTTATCGGCCAGGTGAGTGAACTGTTCCTTCCAAGGGAGATTGAGGATGCTCTTAAAATCTGTGGATTAAAACACGACCAACAGGTGAAATTGTCTCCAAGTGAACGCTTGTTTATGTTTGCTCTCAAAATCAATCGTCAACCACAACTTCAGGTCCATAAACTGCTTGTGAAGTATAGTTCACAGTGAAGGATCCCAGGTCATGCTTCGACAAAAAAAAGCACACCTTTCTTATTTGGTCACTGGTGGAAAAGATTTTAGAAGCCGTGGAAACCCACTATATCTCCCTGGTCTTTATCAACCGATTAGCAACTAGAACACAGGATTCTCATCAAACAGACTCTGCTTTTTGCGGTTGGTAACATCGATTTGAACGCAGTTAATGAAGCCATTTGACGTACTTATAATGTTACCGCCAAATTTTCAAGTGTACTTTTGCAATCATTAGGGGTAACTCACGAAAAATATCGAATCACTGGGTCACCTTTATATGTGACCCCGTTAAGTTCTCGTTTGTGCCTTTAACATTGGCGGTTTTGTCTATTTAGGTCATTATACCGAGTCTACGCCTGCATTACTTAACGCCGAGGTACTACGGCACAGCCGAGGAAGCCAAAGTCGGCGCAGCAGAAACCGCGGTCTACAATCTACACTACAATCAGCTCCAGATGGCCATGACGGAATGTAAGTTGGGTTATTTATTCGTTTTTCTCATGTACACGAACCGAATTCACTAAACTCCATCTGGTGACGGTTTAGCTAGCGTGTTGTTTTACTAGTCTGACTCGCTTGTTGAGCGCCAATTCAAATTTGGTTACTTAGTGAGTGCAACCCCGTGCCTAACTCACTGTCTAATGTACATATGCCCGAAAGGATCTATACGGACGATTTCGAAGTTATTTAGAGGCGGAAATCTACGTAGCGTGCGTTTGCCTGCTGTTGTAGAGTAGGCGGTTCTTCCGATCGGAGTCAAGGCGTCTTCTTTGTAGCTAGCAGATTTTGCTGTTACTGTGCAAACCCCCACACACACGCTATGTGTTTACCGATCAGTGCTTTTGTGCTATCATCTGTGAATGAATTAATTAACTTGCAGAAGACGTGCTGATTTACATACTGACACAAGTTGGACGCACTAAATACCAACATCACCACATATTAGTCGTATTTAGCGATCATAATGCCTGATGCAGAGGAAGCAAGGTAATCCAATACTGGAATAGACTTAACACCAACAAGTTTCAATAGCTAAATAAATAAGCACTTTTAACGAGTGTTTGGTGACCTTGAGTAGTGTTTCAATACGTCAACTAAACGTTTGTGCCGTCATAAATTACAACGACTCCAAGTTACCGTTTTAATCCATCTTAATGTGACGAGGCAAAATTAAAAACAATAAGGTTTAAAGTGTGCCAATGCGCAGATACTAGATATGATTAAGTGTCAGCTGCCATCTGCACCTTTCACTATGATTTCCTCCATAAAACTTATCCAACCAATGAAAGAGCTTGCACCTAGTCCCGTAAAAAAACCTCAATTTCGGTTTAAATTGGACTGCTAAGGACTACATGGGGCGTGTCGCTAATCATGTTTTTTGCGCAGTGTGTAACTCAACCTATCTGTAATTGGTAGACCCATGTACTAGCGGATTAGGGAGTGATGAAGAGTATTCAGGAGTCGAGAGTACTTTGAGAACGGGTCAGTCCACTCCTCTGGCGCCGAGGTCACGTAGAGGGAGGCGACGCAAAGACGAAGACTTCAATGGAGCCAGGCACCATCACTCGCTTAGTCCATTAGGAAAGGCGTCGAATAGGAACGATTTCCAATCGCAAACGAAACACTTTAAGGATAGAACTATGAGTTACAAGCAGGTGCAACAGGGTGATGGCATGGACGAAGATCGAGAGCCGTATTACCAACAACAGCCGCCGCCATGGGATCCACAACAGTACGTCTGTGGTGGACATGAAATTCTTGACTGTGGCCCGGCGCTCCCGAGACAGATGACGCCGAATCCACCAATGGCTCCAGATGAAGACTTCGAGGGACTTCCCCTGTGGTGCCACCCAGAGATGTGCGGTCTCCAAGCCTGTCCACCACCAGTTCATATTATGCCGACTCCGATCGCTACCGGTCTTCCCTATGTCTCAGCACTCAGACCCCTTTCAGCAGTTTGCGGATGCTGCAACCTTTCTGACGATGTGGTGACGCTGTCGCCTCCATTCCTAAATTCACCTCCAACTGGTGGTTGCAAGACTCCACCTTGTAAGAGCGCTCATTAGTAGACCCCGCGTTTGTTGAAGCGTTGGAAACGAGTTTGTGTTTGTTGATCGATTTTTCGCGGTCTGCATGTAGCAATATCTGAGAGTTATTTGTGTGTCGATTTTGCTGTGTTTCAGTGAATGGGGGACTGCCACCATCAAGTGGAGCCAGTGGACTTACTCAGAGCGCTTCTCCTGCACCAATTCTCCCAATGGTCTTTCCACAGGGCATGCCCAATCGAAATCTGCCCTTCTCACCTCTCTCGTGCCAGTCAGGACTATACCCCTCATCCACTGGTCCGCTGACGCCAATGCTACCTCTCTCAACGTACGACAGTGGCCTTTCCTTACAGATGCAAAATCAACTTCTCGAGTACCAGTCCCAGTTGATGTCAAATCCACTGCTTCCATGCGGTGGACTGATTCCAGCTGGAACCCTGGTTGTCGATCCTGCCACCATGAATGTCCCTACCAGTAACTACGGAGGTGTTCAGCCCTGCACAACGAGCGGTGAGGAGGTATTGGATGAGTTCAAACAGAAACCGTCGGTTAGTCAGACCAACGCATCTGGCGCCAATTCCACGGTTAACTTTCTCCCATCACTGATACCTAACTTGTCAACACCCCCCTCAGCTGTTCCTACCACTGGAACGCTGAATTTTCGATTGCCAGTTTCACCGACTACCGCCTCCATACTCAACACACCGCCTGGTCTAGGCAACCTCGCAACGACGACTACCGTGGCTGCGCCACTTGCGGCGACATCTTTGCTAAATTCATTGAGCACTGCTGCCTCGTCCTAATGTCCTTCGTCCAGAGCAACCCTGCTCTATGACTTGTGTTTTACTTTCCTGTCTCATTTCTCCCTCCCCCCTGCTTTTTTTACTTCCTTCGGTAAAAATTCGCATTGCTTTACTTTTTATTTACTCAAACCCTACCTTGCCAACGTTCCGACTTTAATTTTAACGCGTCATTTAAGGTTACCTGTTCTTTCACATGCTCGAGCACCAAGCTCTCGGCATCTCCATCTCTAGTCTCATGTAAAGCAAGCTTTTTTCTCTCCGCGTTCCGGTTTGTTGGTGTTTGAAAAAGCGTTATGAAAGCGCGCCAAACCTCCGACTGGTGACTAAGCAACAGTCGTCGTTTGGGCCTACCTGCTTGTGTGCGGCGTGCACGCGCGTGCGTGAACGACAGTCAGATCTCTTTCTTTAGTTTCCTAAACGTTTACCTGTTTCCATGCTAATAATGTACATTTGTGAGTCGACTCCCTTTAAAACGAGAAAACAAACGTTGGGTTTTGATACCTTTTCATCTCCCGAAGGTGTTTTGTTTGTTATTAATGCCTCCTAAAAACTCGAACTTTCATTGGTCCCTCTTCCCCCTTTGTCAGTTCTAACCCAAATGCCCACAACACGTGTTTTTGCCATACATCTTCTAGTGGTAGAATACACTTGTGAACAAGCATAAACACCTTCCCTTTGTGGCTATCTTAGCATTCACACAATCGCGTTTCCTCACAAGGCAGTTTGCTCCAGGTTAGCTCAGATACTGGCGTGCCAATGTGTGATCTTGTACGCACTACTCCGCTTTGCACAGGTGTGCTGCCGATTTGGCTTGTTGATTTTTGTTTCGTTACGTTGAACTGGCGCTCGTGCAATTTACGTGTGTGTTCAAAGTTCAAGAGCCCAGGCGTTGTAGAGCCACAGGCACGCGCGTGTGTGAAGATTTTGTTCCGAAATTCAGGCTGACTGTGGCAAGAAGCCAGGTTTGACAAACCCACCAAAGTAAACTGGTAATTTTTGCGAAAATGATGCCTGTGTAGCAGAGTAATCACGCGGTGCAAGTGGACACGAGGGTCATTTGGATGTGGTTTTCCCGTCGTCAATCAGGTGGCATTGCTGACAAGTTCAGCGTGAGTTCGCAGTGAAACATTGGTTAACGAAGCCAAGTTTAGGCTCAAAAAACCCTGTTTTGAAGCTTTTGTAGTCAGCAGAACTGAGGTTTAGCCCCAACATGGACCGCGCCATACTTAAAACTAATGTTTAAATGAGGTCCTGTGCAAAAACGTCATGTTTCAGGCGGACTTTTCGAAATCCGATTCTGAAACGGCGCCCTGGTCTTGATCAAGTCATGGTTTTTGGTAGTATCAGCAGGCGTACGCAGAAAATGTGATTTGTTAGTGTACAATTGATACTAAGTTTGCAATCAGCACACACAAAATGACCTTAGGGGCGAAGATGACACGATTTGCGGACACGCTGTGCACAGAAGCGGAAACTCAAATCTTAAAATAAACAGAATGAGCCAGTGTCAAATCAAAAAACCCACATGTCAAGAGTACGCAAGCGCTCTCACGACTTTGCGCTTGTTGTAAATCGCGTTGATTTACACTCGCTTATCCGATCACGCCATCATCGACACAGGGTCCCCCTTTTCGCAGCATGTCGGCAGCCGTGCGGATCCTCAACTCTCTTCTCATTAGATTATCCCCACACCTAGGTCTCGATGTTAGCGCATGTATGACCCACACCTCTGAGGTATAAATACCACCCACGACGCGACACCAACGTGGTTGAGCTCTGAGGTAGACGGTTGTGTCCACGTCCTCTCCGATCTTTTTCTTCACCGTGGGTATCAGGGTGTAGTGAATCGTGTTGATTCACGTCCAATAACCCTGTTCTCGTAGCTTCCAGCACACGTCCCTCCCTTTCACGTGAGACCCCTGGTTCGTTACCCCTCTCAATGTGCCACCACCTCCCGCTTTGGCCATGTGACCTCACAAACGCCTGTGTTCATTTTTAAATGTCCACGCAACTTTAAAAGTACACGACACAACTTGGGTGAGCGGTCTAATAAACGGTTGTGCTTTCCCCACTCCGGTCTTCTATATTTTCGCGGGAACGCAGGGTAACGTATTCGGCCTATATAATCGCAGTGGCTCCGGCGTGGTTCAAGACAACATGCCGGGGCCCTCAACAAGGGAAGCGTAATCGGGCCAGGGTAAATTCAGTGGCCCCGGCGTGGTTCAAGGCCATATGCTGGGGCCCACAACACGCTGATATCCACTGCTCACTCCCCAATTGAAATTTAGTTTCAAAGCGCTGAATGATTTCTTGGCTGCCGCTGAGTGATTTGAGGAATCAACTGTCAACAATGCCGTTTTTGGCAGCCTAAGAGGACTTGAGAATTTATAAAGTCATATTGTCTGTGGCCTTGCCGGATTAAGATGTGAAGTCTATTGTACAACAGACGACCAAAAAACAGATTATAATGTCCTGGAAAGAAACCGGGATGGGGGAGGGAAGGAGTGTTACAAATTTTTGCTGGTCTGAGAACTCATTGGTATAAATATACACCCTCACGCACTAAACAAACTGCGAATTGATTGCGCAAAATTCGGTTAAATTTTGATGGTTTTCGAATTAACTTGTAGTGAGACCAGGCATTGAAGCAGTGGGTTACTAAACGCCACCTTAGAATGAGAAAAAATACCCGAAACCTCAGGACAAAACCAGCCTTTATCAAGTATTCGAGTCAAAGTTGTGTCTGCGGTGTCTAAGCATTTTGTCATTTCACATTGTTAGCACAAATCGAGTTTTTTGTGTAGGGCAAATTCCAGGGGTATAAGAAGCCATGAAATGAGTGTTGACAGACACTTAACACGGCTACTTTTTGCAACATTAACAAGGACTACTGCACATGAGTACTGTTCAGTCTGGTAAAAATCTGTGCGATGTTTTGTAATTGGTTGATTTAAAGAACCAATCCAGCACAATGTGCACAAATAATTTACTTCAGTGTTTTTTATTTATGTAAAAATCCACAAAACTTTAGCCTTCACGTTAAAATAATTGTACAGGAACGCGACCTGATCTTAATTAGGTGGATGATGATTGGATAGTGCAGTAAAAGGCAATCCAGTTCAGACGGTTAGAAATAGATTGTTCCGGAACTACATCGTGGAACTAGTGAGATTTAATGATCGATGTGACCGTTATAATCTGCAAACAAAGTGAGTTCACAAAAATGCTATTTAATTTATTAATATAAAAAAGTGAAAATCCTGAGTGCCAAAAGAGCTGGTTCCTGAAACCACCTATTCAACCAGAAGTAAGCTGTTTGTATTTTTAAAAAGAGCGTGAAATGGCATGCCACTAAAACTTTGCAGATCTTATGACAATTTTCCTTTAATAAAGTGAAAAAACTTTAGGAGACTTCACTAGCTTTGAAAAAGTTTAATTAACGTTTCTGTTTATTATATGTGATCAGATGAATTGATAATGGTCAAAAAGTTCCTTTAATTTAAAGATTTTTCAAAATCTTGCACGCTGAACCTAACTAAGAATTAGGTTAAATAAAAGTTTAGAACTAACAACAGTGACTACCTTCCAAAGTACTCAATCCTTCAGGGACTTTTGATGCGTTTTTCGGCATGAACTATCGTAAAAGTGTTTTCAAAACAAAATACTACATCAGCAAAAACACGTTCGTTCAAGCACCTAGACAAGCATTCAGTGTCTCTATGTCTATGTAATACATTTTAAATTCATTCGCCAAATCATTGAGAGATAACCACAACAAAATGAAGAATTTTGGCAAAACAAAACAGCTGACATTAAGACGAGCACAACATCGGTTTAGATTTCCGCCTCAACAGCATTAAACATAATGAAAATTATTTACTCATGTAACGGACAAATCTAATACTTATCTGAAATAATTCTTCCCCTTAGTATACAAACCTCATGTCAGTTGTTGTAACAAAATCCAATTAAATTAAGATTGTCATAATATTGCAAATGGATGAATTTAACCACATGATGCAAAAGATATCATACATTGTTTATAGTGATTTGATTTTCATATAAAGTTCAGATAAGCTGGAATGCTATATAATGCATAAAATTTAAATATTCTTAATTTTGTGTCAGAGGGCACAAGTGAATAAAGCAAAAGCAATCAATGATATTTTGTAGTTGATTATTGTAAATCTATGTTATCTGAAAGAGATACTAATTTTTTTATAAAAAGGTTTGCGTTTATTGAGCGTATTAAAAAGTCACTTAAATTAATATCTGACCAAAGCGCCATTAAATATATAAGGCATCAAAACTAAACAATTCAACGAAAAAGTTTCCCAGAACAGTTAACATGTAGCCATTTATTGGACCGATATTTTAGCTGAAAATGGTCGTAATACGCAGTTGGTACCGATTTCTTCATCTAAAATTTTTACATTACATTAAATGTTCAGTTTTGAGCAACCAAATTAGTTATTTTTCGAATAAACGGATAACGTATTCAGTTAACAAAGCGATTATAATTATGGTAGTCCGTCTTAAGTATCGCGCCACAAAACTTCTCAAAATTTTTAAACTTTTATAGACAGTGGCATGTACACTATAATAATTGTTCGCAGAGTTTTTTTAGACTAGCGTTTTATACCCAACGATGACTCATGTGTTGCAACGAACTTAATTGTGTTTAAATGAGCTAGAAATGGTTGGTCAACTTATGAATAGCCAAGAAGTGCGTTGTGGATCTTAGCGGTCATCGCTCCCAGACCTTAACATGCAGAACGTGGTCATTCCTCCAGGAAAGGAAGGTGCCGAAAAGACAGCAAGATCTATTTTTGTCGGGAACATACCTTATGAGGCAACCGAAGAAAAGTTGGTTGAGCTGTTTTCTAAGGTGAGTTCGCTCTTAGTTGTTTTACCTGAATTAGGCTGGGCCTGTTGTCAGTTTTCGGTTGGTTTATGACAGGGAGTCTGGTAAGCCCAAGGGATATGGGTTCTGTGAGTATGCCAACCCCGCGATTGCCTCTAGTGCGTTACGAAACCTGCACAATATTGAATTCAATGGTCGTCCTTTGAGGATCGGTCCTGCCGCAGGTGAACAAAACTCTGCTGAAATCGCACTTACTAACCCATCTGTCGGACCTCCTTTGGAAAATCCCTACGGAAATCCCGTGGATCCGGCGAAAGCCCCGGAAGCGATCAGTCGGGCAGTAGCTAGTCTTCCTCCCGAACAGATGTATGAACTCATGAAGCAGATGAAACTGTGCATTCAGAATAATCCCAACGAGGCCAGAAATATGCTTCTCCAAAATCCTCAGCTGGCATACGCCTTGCTTCAGGTAAAACCCTGTTTGTGTTGCATCAATGTCTCTATTATCACTTTATTAATTCGGATTTTCATTGGTAGGCGCAGATTGTGATGAAAATAGTTGATCCAAAGGTAGCAATTGCTATGCTCAATCGGACCCACGACCAGATTCCTCCACTAAGACCTGATACCTCGGTTCTAACACCATCACAGTCCCAGATACCCCCCGATGTTATCGCAAGCAGCAATGCCGATGTCGGTGCACCGCCACAGCAGCAATTTGCATCCGCGCCAATTAATGGTGGTCAGTTTGGCAACCAGCCTGGCAATTTTGCCCACGACTTTCCTCCATCCATTCCGCAAGAACAAATGGCATCTGCGATGGGTAATTCGGGTATTTAGTGTTACGGGACAGGCAGAATCTTGTCCCCAAACACAAACTTGCTTATTCGTAAATTAATAAGTTAGGATTTGTCAAAATTCGAGTGTAACTTTTATTCGTACGTAATGTGGTAACTTGCAGGAGTCTACATGTTTTTCTTGGACCTTCCCCTCCATTACTGTTTTGTGTTTGTCCAGAACTTAAATTTGTGGTGGTTTATACTCGCAGATTTATATTCTTTCTTTTAAATACCAGTGTTTCACCGCATTTAATGCCATACCAAGAAGTGAGGTGTGTGCAGTCTTCTACAACTGTACCTTTGCAATATTGTATAAATTATTTCCAATAATTGGTCAATATGGACGGTTCGTTGCTTCAAATTCTCTTTAACGGTGCAATCCTGAAGAGAAATACCGCGCAACCCTGAGGCACCAATTCCTCGTGGCTCCAGTTTCGACAAATGTATATTCAGTTCGTGCCTTGGTCCTCGTTCAGAAAGGGAAGGTGCTGTTTCAGCCCTTCATGCCGCCGAAGAATTGTCAGTCAGCCCAAATGATTGTCATAATGATTTTTATTCGATTCCGTACCTACGGTTCAAAATTATCAGCTTCATCCATGAGTTTATCCCATAGTTGTTTCTGCGTGTTTAGGCTCGTAGACGTGGTTGGTTTCAAGTCGCAAACAAGACTCAGAAATGGGTATCCTCTTGACATGATCTTGGTGTATGATCCCCTTTCCATAGCAGGTGCTCCAGGAATGTACACTGGATTCCAGCCTCCTCCACCTCCTCCTCCCCCACCGCAACAACAATCCGCGCCGTTTCAACACCTTCAGCAGCAGCAGCAGCACCTTCATCGCCCCCACCAGCCAGGTGGTACCCCACCACAGCCCGTGCCGCCCGGACTGCAACCTGCCACTGGGCTGCCCCAAGCCCCCTTTCCCATGGGAGGACTCCAGGGGGGTGTGCCTCCCCCTCCACCCATACCTCCCACCGGCATCCCCTCTCTCGATCAGGTAACGCCGACTTCTCCGCTCATCTTGCCACTCCTTATTAAATCGGATAGGCTTTGCCACAAAATGGCTAATATCTGTTCAATGATCCCAAATATGCCTGCATGTTGAGATAACAACTACAATTTTTCCCCGTTAAGGCTTCACCTTATCCGTCCACACCGCCTGCTGTCATAGCCCAAAGCCACGCAACATGTCCAAACGCGCCATTGATCAAGGTGGATGCATGGAGCCGAGGTGTTTTTATTGGGGTACTGAAGAATCGATTTAGGGAATGCTGGTGTTCCCCAACACTTTTACGCCTCAATGCCTTTTCCAACGTCAATATTGGAAGATACATTTCAAAACACGGTCATTTTGATGATCGAGCGAAACCGCTTCCCTCTACACATAGCCGTCCTATATATCTTTCTCCAAAACATTTTAGTCTAGTCATTGTGTTCGAATTCATCCCCAAAAGCCTTTTTAACGAAGCGTCGCTATCTAAACTGCCCAACCTTATAGTCACTACCGTGTTTAACCCTGTCGTGGGCCCCAGCGTGTTGTCTCGAACCACGTCGGGGCGACTGAGTGGGACCTGGCCCGGTTACGCTTCCCTGCTACCCGCGATGAAGAAAAAGACCGGAGAGGGCGTGGCCACAGGCGTTCATTTCGGAGCTCAACCTAGTTGGTGTTGTTGTGTGTCGTGGATGGCGTTTGCGCGTGTATTTGTGAGTCGTAAATGCACTAGCATCGAGACCTAGGTGCGAGGATAATCGTTCTTGTTAATGTGGGCGGAGTGACCGGATTAACGAGCGCAAATCAACGCGATTCGTACTTATCAGCTATTCTATCTAGGCAACTGTTTAAACCGTTTGTGTCTACCTGTAATCAATTTCGATCACTCATTGCCAAGTTTTGTTACTTCTTTCGACGCACGTCCTACTTATACTAAAAAGCAACCTGATTTTCTTTTTAACAAAACTAGATGAATCCTGCAATTTCGGCGGCGATGATGGGCGGAGGCGGCGGTGGCAGCAGCGGCGGTATGGCTGTGCCAGGCCTGCCTCAGAAGGAGCAAGAGAAACTCGACCTGATTATGCAGGTTCTTTCGCTCTCGGAGGAATCGATCGCCATGCTCCCCGAAGACCAACAGCGGAGCATTCGCATCTTGAAAGAACAGGTGCGAAAGACGGGTGTGTTTTAGCCGGCACACAAGTTGTTGTCTTGAAATAAAGTCGCGTTTTTTTTTATTTCTTGCACTTCCTGGATGGTGCTTTGGGGAGAGGCTTTTGTGGTCTATTAAGGTAGAGGGGTACAGAGTTGCACCAAACATCCACAACAGATTTGTTTCCACATGGAAATTTTCCCCGATTTGGGGTTCTAAGAAGGGATACATGAGGACTTGACTGTTTACTCAAATGTGCACAGGCTTATGCTGGTTCTTGTGTCGTCCAGAAAACATTTCAGTCCTGTGAACCGAAGCATTAGAGCACATGATGCATTGGGTCCCATGTTGCGCGTTTCAGGAGCTCTACTTTCGATTGGGTTAAGGACGTTTCTCCTTGGAGTGTCAGGGGCAAGATTGTGATGATTTTCAAAAAAGGGCGTGTGAAGCGTATTAGTAGCGAAGTAATAGTGAACTTGATCTCTGCATCACCTGTGATGAATATTATTTGACTGAGGCGGGGGGAATGGAAAAGGTGATAGAGCTTAATTCTCTGTGACGAAATAGCCGTGGAAAAATTGAAATCCACACCGTAAATGAACACGATAGTGTCAAATTGTTAAACTTCCCATGAATTCTGGGTGGTGTGGAGTTTCAAATGGAGGATATAACTGAGCTAAATACATATAGGTGAGCCGATTCTTACTTAAAACAATTTTCATTTGTCAAATATATATTTTTGTATGCCAACATAATTTAGCTTTAAATTAGTTGCATTTGGCAACGTATGGTTCAGGTCACTAAACTCTTAAAAACGTATGGTTCAGGTCACTAAACTCCTATGATTTCTACGAAGAAGAGGACGACTAGAATAAGCCTCCTTTATCTATTAAAGTACGGGAATTTTTTAACTAACCTGATCATAAGGTGCTATTCGTGTTCTATAAACCCACTTTTTTAAGAAAACTGAACTAAATTGATCTCACATTATTGGACAATCGTACAAAATTCTACTTCTTTTTGGCATCCATAACATATTGGCACGTTCGGCTTGTCGAGATGGGTTGTCCATTCCCTGCGAAATCCCACTGACCTACTTTATATTTATTTTGATACAAGGCAGGTGGTACCTAACGAAAACGTTAAAAGTAGCTAAAACCACTATTTATTTGTTCATCATAAAGGATTACATCGAACTACCTATTAAAATAGCTTTGGAGTTTCCGTATGAAACGTATTTGCTTTACAACTCAATGACACAAATTAGAACGTGTGAGTTTCAACCTAAAGATACCGTTTTTACACTTAAAAACATATACAAATGCCACATTCTCGTGCGTTAACCATCAAACAGATTCACGGATAGAAATAAAATTTAAAATGCAATCAAAGTAATTATTAAAATCACAGAAATCAGCAGAATTATCGCAACTCAAGATGGTAAAAAAACCTTATATTTTTTTGATGAATAAGCAACTTGCTTATCAGAACATACTTTGTCAAGCATAGCATTAAAAGGTAAAAAAAAGGGTGAAAAAATTTGTGATGGGAAAAGAATCCTCAACTTGGCCAATGGGTATAAGAATGCATTCAAATCGACTTACTATATGGAGGATAGTTAGGGAATACTTTTTTAATGTCAGATTAGCGAATCTGATTCTCACATTCCAATTGCCAAATCCACCGTATTACTCACTGCAAATATTATTTTCTCAAACCTAATTTATATTCATTTTTCCAGATATGGAAAAATCCTCAACTCATATATCTGACGCAAAGCTTTTTAATATGAATTTGCCTTTTAAAAACGTCGTGCTAAATTACTTTCGTTCTGGTATAAATGCAACATCTTTGAGTTAGAACTGGTTGTGAATAGGGAATCGGATCCAGCCATTAGTTTGTAGGCCTTTTGTTGCTGAGAAAAAGAACTATTTATGGCGCATTAATATTCGTACACTTATCTAGCTTATTTGGTCAAAGTCTAATTCAATTATAAAGCCTTACTTTGGATTACGACTTCCACAATCTTTTAAAGAGGTGAAACAATCGTGGAAGATTTTGACTGACGAATGACGAAATTGTGACATTAAAACTAGGCGACTATTGGTTTATTCACTGAAGGCCGTTTGGGAATGCGCTTTGTAGCTCATCTGCTTGCCCGAGTTGTCTAGTCCGAAATGTCATATGTTAGTAAATATATTCGTTTAAAATAAATATGCAGGGTAATTTGTTTTACCTTTAGGGAAAGTAGTGTTTCCAGGTGTTTCACATAACAATGTGTTTAGTTCCTACTATAAATATGTTGATATCCTCAAAGGCCATTTTTAGATTTAAATCATTTGTTTCCTTTTAATTATGTTGGCAGTATCGCTGTTATCTATTTCGTGGCACACTCAAAGCAATCATAATTGCTCCAAGATTTTTAAACTAATTATGTTGCTATCACGCTATGTTGTCCAGGAAATTGTATCCGCGGTTCTATGAACTAGGCGGATTTATTATCCCACACCAAACTATTAAAATAGATTCCCAAAACTACTCTTGACGTTTTTTACAAATATTAATGGTGTACGTAGGCGAGGCTAAAATGATTAAGGAGGTTCGGGAATGCGTCAAAAGACATCCGTTCAAAATAAAAATAATAATGAAAATACATAAAAGGGTTTTAGCGGAATCAGGTAGTGTATCAGACGTTCATGTGTGCCCATTGAGTCGTCAGATTTGTTTCATTTTTAGTCTCGGCGCTTTGCATTCTTCGAGAAGGTTCCCCTTAGTGTTGACAAAGTTGAGCACAGCTTCCAGGTTAGTTTTCACTGTCACGCTGACCTTGCCGTTTTTCCCTGTGTTTCCTTGATATTCCCGCATCCAGTTAATAATTAACCACGCTTTCGTTTTTGTATCAATAATAGATTTTCCCACTAAATTTGCATAATTTGATGCGTTTAGGTATGCCTTGTACTTTCAGATACGCAAGGTAATAATAAAATGCGTTGTCCAAGTTTTTTTTGCTTTCAACAGTGTTGATCCATATTTTTGCAAAAGGCTGTTGATTAATTCGTGCATTCTATGCCTTAACTGTCAATAGTTCCGTGTTTCCAACTGTTATTCGGTCTCCTGAATCCGACTGTTTTGTGACCAGAGAGCTCTTCACTGGATTCTGTTTCCGTTTTTTATTTGCGAAGAGTTGTATTGCGTTCTTATAGGCCTCGCAGTGTTAGCAATGAATCCACGTTTTGTTCTGCTGCCTTTTGCGAAACAGCAGGGCCATTTTTTGATTTTTACAATCACTGACGCGCACCTTGTCACACAGGATCTCCCGGTGACATGCGTGACCTCCGGCGGAGGCTACCTGTGGCTCGGAGACGCAGACGGTTTTATGCACTGCCTCGACTCCACCTTCTGTCTCTCCTCCTTCCGCGCCCACACCAGCGGACCGGTTCGACATTGTCGTCAGGTGCCCGGAACTGAGCACCTCGTAGTGACAGTGGGCGCCTCCAGCGAGGACAGAGACGAGAGGGTGTGCGTTTGGAACACCAAGAAGTGGTCCCTCACCTCGAAGACCTCTCTTCCCGTCTGCTGTCGCAGTGTCAAGACGACAGTCGGTGCGCCTCAGCCCGGTGGTCGCAGTCTGGGTGAGGTGGTTTGTCTGGAGGTCGCAGCCACTCTTGACGTCGTCCTGCTCGGACACGCTGGCGGCGCAGTGCAGCTCATCAAGGGTGACATCACTTCTGACCGGTTAGTCTTCCTTGCGCATCCACATTTTGCCAATCAAGCACTCGGTTTCCGTGGTCACATTTGCTCCGATTTTGTCACAGCCACTGTCGTCGACTGGTGTTGCATGAATTCGCCGTCCCAGTTACTGGTCTCCACTACGTGCCCGCGACCCCCTCAAATCCAAAACGCCAAAAAGCCAATCTGGAGGAGTTCTTGCGCGCCTCCAGTCGGCACATCGTGGAACAACTCTCGCCCGAGACGTCTGTGAAGAGCGCAGACGTCGGATCGGCCTCACCGGTTGTCGGTTCGCCCTCCTCCGGCCCTACCAGTCCCTACGTTTTTGCCTGCTCGGAGAGTCAGATTGTCAGCATCACGCTGGGCAAGAGGGATGAACCTATTCGGACGGTAGATTGAATGTGCTACTAGCATACATAATTAGTAGTATCGTTGTTATCTATATCGAAACATGCGAGAATTGTCCGAGTAGGGCTGAACTCAAGGTCAATCTCAGGCGAAATGGGGTCACAATCATACCCACATTGTAGATAGTGCCTTATTTTCCACAAAATTGATAATGTTTGCATGAATTCTATGTGTCACGGTTACTTTTACTAATTTTAAAGTAGAAAATAAGCTACTGTAATTCGTGGAAAAGTTTCGTTTCTTTTAAAAATGCGATTCCCGCGAAAACCTACTAAGTCGCACGCATCTATCCAAGCTGAAAGCTTATCCGACTGTTGATTGGTCGATATTTTAACACGAAACTAATTATATCGACGACTTCGCAAATACAGTGTTTGTCTTTGTGATGTGAATTCGCCCAATTTAACTAATTACCGACATTTGCGCGAGACCTTGACCTTGGATCAACCAATAGAGACCGGCCTAATTTAGAACCTAGCTGTACTTTTTGATTAAAAAAAGTTTACTAGAACGTATCGGTTTTTAATGAGCATGATTCGAAGCCCTGGGGATTTGAATATGTGCCCGAAATTTCGTATTGGCTGCTCTTACGTCAGTTCTTTTCTTAATATTTTCTCTCTTTTATCGTCTAGAACGTTTTGGACAGTTTTGGATGTCGCGTCAACTGCTCGTGTCTGTTGACCGATCCACAGAAGCCAGGCCATCCAAATCTAGTCATGGCGCACAAGGAGGTACGATTTCTCGAAATCCATTTTGCCAGTTTTAAAAACACCCTCAAATGAACTGCAAATCGATTAGATTTGCCCCATCTTTGAGTTGGTTAGGCCTATCGGGGCATCGTGTGTACCGTGTTTTTCATTGGTCCAAACTGTCCAATCAGTCTTCTTCCTCGCCTCGAGGTCATTTGCTAGATTGTTTTTCATTGGTCCAAATTGTCAAATCAGTGTTTTCCAATGTCCCTTCCCAGGCACTTTACTTCTATGATGTCGACGGCAGAGGGCCGTGTATTGCAATCGAAGGCGACAAACGGGCGATCTGCTCCTACAAGAATTACCTCGTTTCTATCAGGCTGAGCGGGTGAGTCGACAGCAGGTGTCACCGCTACCCTATCTGTCACCTCTCCGGTAATACCACCCTTGGTTTCTTTACCTTCTTAGCGCTCAGAGACCGACTGACAGCCAACCAGGCTTCCCAGACCCCCAGTCCAGTGTGTCCCTTTTTGAGTTCAAAAATAAGTTCATCGGAGGCGACTTCGTTATCCCATGGGCGCACTCTATAATTGCTGATTTGGGCAGCTTGTTTGTTCTTTGTTTGGAGGCAGACGCAGCACGTGGCACGAACTCGGTGAAGGCACGTTGTGTGGCTGCATTTGCTTAGTATATTACGTCTACTGACATTATTTGAGTAGCACTATTTACATTGCAGATTGTCGAGCTTGTGGAGAAGGACACTCAGTCGAAATTGGACATTCTCTTCTCTAGAAAGAGCTTCAATCTTGCTATTGGGTATGCGTGGGTTGTTTTTAACCTTCTTTGCCCCCTTTTTTGTTTTTACCAGCATCCAATTTTTGTGCGCAGCATGGCTGAATCGGACAATCACAGCAAAGAGGAACTGGCTCACATTCACAGGCGCTACGCCGATCACCTCTTCAGCCAGAAGCAGTACGACATGGCTGTGAAGGAGTACATCCAAACTATCGGCACCGTTGAAGCCTCCTACGTTGTGCTGCGGGTAAAATATGCCTTACCCAATCACCGCCATGAGAGAGTGTTCTTGTGCATGACCTTGGTGTAACCAATGAGCGATGACCCCATATGCAACCGCATTATCTTGGCATCGTTAATGTGTTAGTGGCTTGGAGGAGACCGTCATTCCACAATCCACTACCTCTTTCCCTTGTGTGTTGTTTCAGTTCCTCGAGAGCGGCCTGATCAATCATCTGACGCGTTACTTGGAGGCCCTTCACTTGCCCGAGAACGTGGCCCGCGGGTGCCTCACTAAAGACCATACCGCTCTCCTCCTCAACAGCTACGCCCGATTGGATGACAGCGAGCGGATTGACGCCTTCCTACGGGTTAGTTTGCGTCAGGTGTTTTCGTGGTACCAGGGGGTGGGGGGTGACCGATGGCTGTGTCTGTGTGTCAGGACAGGGTCGTGTACCGCAGCGGGGGAGGTGGTGTGTACCGACGTGTCCGAGTAGCCAATGAGAATGCTTTGCAATGCGTAAGAGCCAATTAGACGAGTGGTGGGCTTACAGGTGGCCAGGGTTGGTTGGCTGGGACAAAACTGTGTTCTCGACCAGCTCCACTCCTCCCTCTAGACATTGGCGAACCAGCCCCACATCGACTCCGACTTCTTCGCCTGCATCAACGTCCTCCGACGCGCCGGCTATCCCCATCAGGCTCTGACCTTGGCTCGTCTCACCAGCAACACCGCTGACTGCATCCAAATCCTTGCGGAGGACTTGAAGGACGCTGAAGCTGTACTGGCTGAAATCAATGCTCTCCCTTTCGAACAGGTGAGGCGTCCATCTACAAACCTAAAAAAATCCGAGTCACAGGTCAATTGACCTTTGACAACTGAACCCTGATTGGTCATATCTTGAGTTGACCTTGAACGGAGTCTCAGTCGTGCACAACGCAACCAATCAGCGCGTGTGCTTTAGCCACAGTTCAAGGTCGCAACAGGAGCGGTGAAGGTGGTTGGTTGGCTGGCGGAGGTTGGATCAGCCAGTGTATCGCATTGTCGAAGCACAATTTTGGGCATTACACCATGACTGGTACGTGGTTTTTATGTGTTTTTAGGCCCTTGAAGCTGTCTGTACTCACGGCACCTTCTTAATGCAGACTGTGCCGGTGGAAACGGCCGAGATTTTGGACAAACTTTGCTCAAATCCCAGTAAGCCCCCCACCCTCTCTCCACTCACCTGCCTCCCCCGCCCCCCTGCCTACCTCACCTCCCTTCAATCCTGCTCATCCTGATTTGTAGAGGGCGGACGCATAAGTGCGCAGCACTTTATCAAAATTTTCGTCAACAACCGCACCGGCCTGATGAAATTTCTCGAGCGGTACATACAGGTAAGGTAGGGTTTCGGCGGTGTCGGAGGGAGTCACACCGAAACGTGGCATTTAATCGCCCCACCCCCCACCACTCCCACCACCAACCGCCCTATAAGCGTTTACCTATATCGGTGTACTTTTTTGTACTTTTTTTATGGCAGTGTTCTCACACGAGTGCCCTGCTATGCATGCATCTTTAACCGCCGATCGAGGATCGCGCCTATTCGCATTAAACAGAGCAGAATATGCACGCGTGTATAAAAAGGGTGAAGAATGGTTGTGTATGTGTGTGTGAAACGGGGAAAATGCCTGTGTGTGTAAAACCGTGAAAAATGGCTGTGGGTATGTCTGTGTGTAAAACCAAGGAGAATGATTGTGTGTATTTGAAATGAGGGAAATTATTGTGTGTGTGAAATGGGAAATAACGATTGTGTGTGTGTGTGGTGTGTGTGTGTGCGTGTGTGTGTGTGTAAACTGGAAAAATATGTGCCTGCAAGACTAAGCTAAAAATGACCTGCAAAACGCGCACATTCAACTTCACAGAATTCCCCAAAAGTCCCGCTTATTGATTATTGAATTTCGTCTGGAGACTATTCACTTACAGTTGCCTAATTCTCTTGTCACCCTGCTAAAGCTGTTTTGGCCAAAACTAGAGCCACGTTTGTTATCAACTTGAAAGGATTGTGGAGAGCAATTGTATCTCACTGCCCACATTGCCCAGTGCGGACTCATGTAGTTCCCAAAAAGGTAGATAGAAAGTGTGATGTCATGTGTGTTTTTGCCACTAACATTGGAAATTCTCACAGCCGTCATCAGAAGTGAACAATTATCGTCTGATTTCACCCTAACCCACCATCCACCGCAAAAGAAAATAATGCATGCTTGTTCTCCTTCCTCATTCACCACGTAGAAGGTGCACTCCATCGACGCTGCCGTCTTGAATTCGGTCGAAACCCTGCTTGAATTGGCCCTCTACGAGGCGGATGCGATCTCTGGTGACGCCGCCTGTGAGGACAAAGAGGCACAGGTCGCTCACCTCCACGGCCTCGTGATGCGACTACTCAAGCACTCCAAGGTAACTCTCCAACGCCTGGTCAAATTTTTGTCGCACCTTCTCAAATACCTCGGAAACCAAGCATGTAATGTAGGCAAGGAATGTAGGTTTTTGAAATCTGTAGTGCATCGTTCCCACGGGGTTTAGGTTCTCGAAGATAGATTAAGGGGTGATAAAAGATGGCATGTGACCAATCTTTTGTCACAATCAAGGTCACGGTGGACCCTCCTATCGCCGAAATCTTATTGGTACTCTATTCACGCGTGCGCTTCGGCTAGTTGCAGACTCTTTCACTTCACACAAATTCGTTCTCTAGGATTGTCTTGCGGCAGCAATCATCACCATCACACAGCAATCAAACTACCACGTGTTTTCTGCACCCAGCAGCTTCTCAAAATGGTGCATTTTGATATGCAAGGTCGCTTACTCAGTCAGTTAAGAGTTAACACCATGGGTTTTTTACTGGTCTGGTGGCAGGATTATTCACGAGGTACACACTATCCCGCAGTCAGACTCCACATAGGTACCCAGAACATCAAGGAATACCTTTAACCGGCAGTTCCGAAAGCAGTGGTCTTGATTGTGTTTCCAAGGGTTTTCTGATCTTCAAGTGCTTCGACAACTGGAAATGTGTGTCTAGACAGTGCTGAAAGCACAGCCCCCTTGTGGAACGTGCCGAAGGCACTTCAACTGTGTCGCCTGTGTGGCGTTTGCGCAATTCTGAATGCCCAAAGCGCCTTCACCCAACGACGACACCTCCTATCCAACGTCGACTTATAGGGGCTCCCTTCAATAACCTTCAAATGTAGG